CCTTCCATCGATATACCACGATCTAGTTTTGTGTTCTTTTTTTTTTGTTTTTTTTTGTTTTTTTTTTTTTTTCAGGGTGGGTTGGTACTTTTATAACTGATCGTCGAACAATTTTTCTCTCTCTCTCTCTCTTTTTGGTTCTCTTCAATTTATCGATGAGAACCAAGCATATGGGTTGTACTTATCAAAAAAGTTCCTCGTTTGTTAGCTTTCCTCTTTTTTTTTTCCTACCTTTTCCATATGCAGTTTTAGGTATTTCTTTTTCTTTTTTTTCTTTCTGTCATTGCAATAGTTCGTTCCACTGCTCCGAGTGATAGGATTTGTCTGAAATACTTTGTTATAAGAATTTATTAAATGTAATTCAATGTGTGAATGCATTACTATAATATGTTGAATTGCGTTTAACCTTCTCATTGATATTACAAGAAGAGTAAGAGAATGTTAGTATTAAAGAAGATTACAAAAAGAAGAAAAAAAATGGGTTCCTCGTGTCACGAGAGAACCACGAACGATATCGTATGAACGGCAAGTCGGGTATCCTATCGTATGCTATGGTATGGTTGTGCAAGGAAGAAACGTTTCGAGTTTACATGGTTAATGCGATGATATTCGGTTAATAACGGGGGAAAAATAAAATACAAAATATTCATAATGAGAAGTAGGAAGGAAGGAAGAAGAAAAGGATTTGATAGGGGAATGGAAAGTAGTGGGGGTTAAGTAAAGGTAAAAGTATGGAAACTGTGTATGAACAGCATGTTGTAGATTCGAAAAAAAGAACAGAAGTGTCAGGCAACAGGATTTAATCTCTTAATTACCAGAGGATATACTTGCTTACTTGTTTGGTTGGTTGGTTGGTTGGTTGGTTGGTTGCATTTTGCATTCGTGGTGGGTGAAGTAAAGTCGAACGCAAGGATTAGTTGTAACATTACTCTATTAAGCTCACCATCCGGCTTGTTTGTTAAATAATATCATCGCTACCCGGATAAAGTTTAGCAAAAGTAACTACCAGTAATAATCGTCTCTTATAATAAACTCTGTGTTCCACTACTACAACACGTTTGAAGAATTCACGATCATATTTCATCATATCAAGTTATTATTATTATAATTTTCTTTTTTTTTCTCTCTCTCTCTCTTTCTCTCTCTCTCTCTAGAGGTAGAGATTAGATTTATATTAGAGTTTATTTCTAACATATAAATTATTAAGATGAAATTTTCTTTGTATATTTGTTTTAATATATTTCTTTGTATCAGAGAGATTTGAAAAGTATATTATTAAATTTTAAAGAAAAATTCGTAAAAGAGATTGACGTTTAATTTCTTTTCGTTAAAATTGTTCTCTGTTGCAATTAGCTGACACATTTTGCGAACGAATATTACAGAAAGACTGATTCAGCGGATATCGGGAAAACGAACGAGGAATTCCTAATTGACAGCTTTCCTCGTATCTCATACAATTCAGTGGATTCTCCTAACTGTTTCCGAGAACGATCGACCCAAAATTGAACGAATGAATATAATTGGGGACACCTATAAGAATTGTTTTCTAATACTTTTTAATATTCAAACAAAATTTCATTTTATTCGACAACACGAAAAAATTATTTCACAAACATATTCCTATATAATTAGAAAAGAAAAAAAAAAACAGTTATTAATTATATAATAAGATTATTATTATATAATTAGAGAGAAAATATAAGATTTACTTTTGTGTTTTTTTTTATTGATCAGATTTCTCTTTACTGAAAAAAAAAAAAATCATTCTTTTTATACTTTTGTGTTCCGAGTAACACGCTTAACCCAACGATTAAATCCACCACTAGTAGTTTCGTATTTATTTGCACGGGAAATATCGCGGCGGGTGCAACCAACACACAAACATGCATACACATGGACACACGTGAGTAGTATCCATTGAATATCGCGCTGCGTGCATGCTGAGCTATTCAATTTCCTTGATTATTGTCACGAGAGTTTGACTATGTTTATTATGCGATGCGTGTACTTGCCCTCATGTATCCACGAGATGACGCGAAAAAAGGGAGAAAAGGGATGGGGAAGAAAAAAAAAGGAAAAGGGGGGGATTTGATAAAAAAAAAACAAAAAAAAAACAACAACTTTTCTTATACTGGGTGGTCTTGTGTATGCAATAACAAATATTATTTTTCCAATTCCATAAGGTTTCCATTTTGTTGTTTTATCGGAAGGAGGTGGTGGTAGGGAGGAAAATGAACGAGTTGTATTTTGCTAAGAATTTCCAAAGTGTCAAAACATGTTAAAAAGAAAATAAAAGTGATTTACAACTATACGCGAGGAAGATTTTCTACAAGGACCACCACTCGGGGACAATGAAACCTTTCTTTTCTTCTCTTTTGAATATCTCTTACTGGGTCATCCAATTTTATTAAAGAACATTAACAAAAGGTGATCATAGTTCTCGAAAATAAACGGAAGAAATATACGACGATTCCATGGTTTTACTATTGGGATGTTGCCACAATAGTTTTGGTTTCTTTCAAATGCATTTGGCTCACTTCGTGTTCTCTCCTCGTGATTTCTAATATTTATAATAGAGAATTTTAGTATTGGTTACAAAGTGAAAGTATGTGCCTAAACTTTCGAATTTTCTTTTCTAATCCGTGGGAAGATGTTGGAAACATTTAATGCGAACAATCTATAAACGACGATCATCTCTATTCATACGAATTCAAATATTTGGGTTAAACATTATTAGAAAGATTATTATACATATCGTTAAGTAAAAGGGGATAAATTTTTGTTGAAGGAATACAAGAAGAACAATTCAACAAAAAAAATAATCACCGATTAATCAATACAAATTTATGCATAATCGTTAAACGTTCATATTATTTATCAATTCAACTAGGAATAATCAAATATGGTGGTACCTTACGAATCTATTTAAAAGGAAGCCACTGTTATGACGTAGAATGGATAAGAAAAGGGTTAACTTCCTGTTCTTGAGAACGTAGACGATCTTTTATGGTATCTTTGATATTCCACTATGGGATCTATGCATATGTAAAGAATTTCTTCAAAAGGCTTCCCCCATTCTCTGCCATTGTGGTGGCGGGGGTGGTAGGTGTCTTAAGAGGTTGGGACGAATTGTGGGAGGGATTCTAACACAGGGGGAACGGGTTAATAACGAATAAAAAGGGCTTCACCTTAGTCTAGTATATCTGTTTTATGTAACTGAGTTTTATGCCAAGCTAGCCCGTTGGCATCATTCAAGATCATCCTCTCTCTGTTTTATATAAATTTTTAACTTGATTAAAAACGCGTGGCACATGTGAGGTATCCTGCCTAAAACTATTAGGCCAATTCTACGTTCAATCTAAGTCCTTGAATATAATTTAGATATTTGAATTCGCGTTTAACAGACAATTTTCTATGACAATTAATCTAATGATTATGTAATATTGTAATATTTGTAATTAGATAAATATAGGAAAGAAAATAATATATTTAAGGCACGTGCCTGTAAATTTTCTTTAACAAATTGAACAATTGATAAAAAATGAGACCACGGGAGATGTTTCGTTCGGTTTTCTTGAAAGGGCATCCACAATTTTTCAAGTCAACGGACCTTGAAACTCGTCGACGTGAGGACGACGAAGGAAAAGAAACTTAGTGTGTCTCGTAAAAGAAGATTCGAGGAAGGTTCGAAAAATATTTGCTAGCTTGCCATGTTCGTTTGATCAATGACGTTTTATTGTTGCTGGTGCTGTTTAGTTGAATCAACCCTGAAATCAACAGGGGGTGTTCTGGACACACGCACGACACGCCGCGATGGTACTCCTGGCGCGAGCCCTACAACCCCTTATACTTACACCCTTTTAGTATAATAAAACCTTCTTTATAGTTTACCCTTTATACTGTTGCACAACATACCAGTCCGATCTTTTCTCAGTTTCTTAGTCATCCATAGTTCATTTTATTTTTATACTATTTGGATTATTGTTGCTTGAAAATAAGATGAGGGGGGGGGTCGTATGTTTGTCAATGTGTTTTCGAATATTAATCATTTTTTGTTTGGAAAAAAATAGAAAAAACGGTGGGAACAAATAATATATTCTCAGTGAATTCTATATATTTATATGGAAACAAATTCTGAATTATTTATTCTACATTAGTTGTCGAAAGTTCGATCTGTCGTAGGATTATTGGCTAAACGAAGAATTATATTGTATAATCTAAACAAAATAATCAGTTAAACATATTCAAACGAAACCCTAATAAAAATTATACGACCAGAGTAGTCAGATTTACTGTTCAGAACTTGATTTTTTAGGATTTTAACCTGGAAACGTTGGGACAAAATTTTCAAAGCAAAAGTTTGACGTTCAAAATATTGAACGGGAAAAAGAATATTGTTAAAATCCGGTAAGGAAAACTCACGGCCAATGATTTACGAGATTGGAACAAACCGAACTCACGAATTTCTACAATAAATCCTATGGAAAATCCTATGGAAACTCCTGATGTTGCTTCTATTCTATTCTTTTTCTTTTTTTTCTTTTTTATTTTTTCTCTCTCTCTCTCTCTCTCTCTCTATTCCTATCTTTTCTTTTCGTTTAGTAATGTTCTTTAACATTTGATTCATCAGTTTATTTTCTATCATGCATTTTACGAGTCGTTCAAAACTGGCGAACAAATTTCTCGTGCCTTCCAGATATATTTTTTAATTTCTCACATTTGAAAACGAGAACGATTTATTTATTTCGATATTACAATTTCGAAATATTAGATTAAACGGTGGTAATTATGGGATTCCTACAGATTGTGAATTGTTTATTTACTGTATTTAATATCGAATAAGGTTGCAGAAATGATCGAACAATGTCGAAACTGTGTTCAACCGAACGGTTTAAATAATTATCGAGTATATTAGTCGAGTGCGCGACACAGTTAGACCCTAACGTATCTCACGTTACAGAAAGTAGTCTTAAAACAAAAAACAAAAAAAGACCCGAAAAATGGAGTCAACCGAATTATCGAGAATTTCAAAGACGATAACCAACAAACATTCGTTTCAAATAGGAGCAGATTTTATCTTATACGTTTTGCGTCGAGTTTTAAGGGACAACGAGATTAGATTATTGAATTACAGATACAAAAAATGCAACACAGAATATTCATCGTTGAGTAATCTTTATCTATGCATTGTTAAATTTGATAACAAACATTGGGGAAGTAACGAATACCATGGCGAATTTATCGTTAAAATCGAACCAAGTGACAGACCAATAGCATTGCAAATTTATAAACAAGAAAAATTATTCGAAACCGAAATGTTCATGTATTTGATAGCATTGGAAAAGATGTATCGTTTGACTGGGGAAAGATTAGCACCGAAATTGATTTATTGTTCTAACAATACAAAAACATTGGTCATGGATAGTTTAAGTTTTCATGGGTATCGTATGATGGATCGTCGGAATGGTTTGCCCAAGGATTATTGCAATTTAGTTATGAGAAAATTAGCCATTTTTCATGCAGCATCCGTGGCCGTTTGCGAAAAGGTAATTTCGAGTTGAATTCATTTGATATTCACGATAAACACTTGTCCTTAACAATTGATGTAAACATCGATTCTAATATTGTGTCGTTTATTAGTTACGAATCGATCATGGATATATCGATACACATATATATCGTTGAATTTATTTTCTAGAATCCGGAATGGCCTACCATGTTGCACGGTGGAATACTCGCCAATCCTTTGGACAGTTTTTTAAGATTATGCGAAAACAGCATATACAATGTAAGTCGTGAGATACGTGCATGGGGTCAAGAATATTCTATTACGGCAGATAAAATAGACAAATTTGTTAGTGAAATAAGAACGAAAGTAAAGAAAATTTACGATTACGATTTCGACGAATTTTGCGTTATCAATCATGGTGATTTGTGTATTGATAATGTCTTGTTCTCTCATTTCTTCAACACTGACCAACCAAGCGACGTTTTATTCGTATGACTTTTTTGTTTTTTTTTTTTTTCTTTCCTTTTTTTTTCCTTCGTTATCATTATTAATTTTGGATCATTCAATTGTAGGTAGATTTTCAAAGATCCTGTTACACCTCACCGGCCATAGATTTAATTCATTTTTTCAACACCTGTCCGGAAATAGAATTCAAGTACAAGAAGGAGTATCATTTTTTGTCAAATTATTTAAACATTCTTACATATGCCATGGGGGTTTTTCATTGCAATACCAGACCACCGACATTGGCTGAAATAGAAAAGGCTATGGAAAAAAGACGACTTTATATAATTATAGTTGGATTGGTGTTGTATCCGCGTATGGTGGTTAGGCATAACAATCATGAGAGTTGGGAACATGTGTTGGGTACTTTAAATGGTGATACTGAATTGGACGTTTTCAAAGAACCACTTGCGGTCGAATCTATTCGTAGGTTTATCAAATTTATGGAACTTAAAGGTATTTTGGATTGATTAGTGATCATCGTAATTTATCAGGTAATTCATTCGTGATATATAGATATATGTATTTTTGAATAAAACTAAAGCACAGATATGGTCTATCAAAATTCTTAAACATATTTAAATAACAAATTCATTTCTTAAAATAATATCACATTAGAATTATATAAGTCCTATAATTGTCTAAATAATCTCAACAATTCTGTTCATATTTAAAACGAAAAGAAAATCGTTTAAGACATTTTAAGATCGTATAACTGTCCCTCATTCCATTAATTATTATCTTTAACAATAAAACAGATAACATTACTGATATTTTGATATTTGAAATAGTCGAACAAGAAGGAATATTTATTCACGTGACAATAAAAGTTAGGACGCAGAGTAGAGAAAGGAAAACATGAGATGACATTTTTATGAGAAAACCAAGATCATTGGGGGAGTCATTTACAGATCTGGTTGGCAAGATAAAGGTTGGCAGAAAAAGAAGAAGAAGAAGAAGAAGAAGAAGAGGAAAATGGTCGAAATGGTAAAAGACACGTAAACGAAGGCGCATACAATTACGTTAACCGACCGGTAGCAATTGATTTATTATAGGACAGTAAGAGTAAGAGAGTGAGAGTGTGTGAGAGAAAGAGAGAGATCACTGGTCAAAATGTATTTTTCTTCTTCCAAAAACTAGATTTGGTAACCTAGATCTGCGTAGAATGAAATTGTTGTGGCAAGTGACTCCTCGGTAGGAGGGTTACCCATTCCCATATACCCTAAACGTCAGAAAATACCTAACGAATGAAGTTAACTTTTTAACCGATAGAAAAACGACACTAAAACCCAAACGTAAGATCTTAGATTTCGATCTTTCCATGGAAAAACTTACCATTCGTTCTACGACCATTAAATTCTTCTTCTTCTTCTTCATTTCTTTTCTTTTCACTTTTCACCATCAACCAACAGGATGACGCCAAGAAGAAGAAGAAGAAGAGGAAGTCAGGGTGGTATAGGGTGGTGGTGGTGGTGGTGCTGGTGGTGGTTGGTTTTCCTCCATACCATTTCATTTTTCTACCCATTGACTATTTTATTTCTTTTTATACATATATGAATACACACGGATCATCTGTTTTCTTGAACGTTAACGTTAAAGGAGTTAGCCAATAGGATGAGTGGGTACTACCAGTGTCAGAAAATATTCAGTAAATCACGTTAATAGAACACAATAGGTGAATTTGCTTCTCCGCACGAGATTACTGTCTAAATAACGAATTGGTAGAGGAAAGAGGGTGGGAATGAAAACGAGAACTTCGAGAGAGGAGGGGGTGGGAACGGTGTGACGTTAGATTCGAACAAATGAAAAATAATCGAATGCTGTGTTGCAACCTATTGTCATAAGCGTGCACCTAAACTGATCGAACGAACGAATAATAAAAAAAAAAAAAAGGGAAAGAAATGAATTTGTTGGTTCGTGTGGACTATTGTTAAGAATATTTAGGTCATCAGGTTGCCCTCGTCATTCTGTTGAAAATTCCAGTAGCTTCTAGCCCCATTTGTCACGAATGAAGTGCACCAGAATGGGGCAACCAAAAAGTAGCAAGTTAGGTGAGGATGGGAAAGGGAGGAGAGGAAGAAGAAACGCAGGGAGTGGGTTTGTTCTTTCCATATTTTATCCCACCTTTCAAATATTTCCCTTTTTTCCTTCTTTTTCTCTCATTTTTCTCTTTTTTTTCTTCTTCTTCCTTGATATTCGAGAATATATTAAATTTTTAAATGCATAATCGCGTGTAGGTTTGGTTAAATCGTTTTTGACTCGGATTTATTTTCTTCGTTGATTGGATATATTTTATTTTATTGTTTTATTAATTTATTTTCCTTTTTGTTTTCTTTTTTTTGTTTTTTGTGTGAAAGATATCGTGGTATCTATTGTACCTTTAATTTTAGATAATTATTTTTTACAGTCTGTATGTGTGAGTCATTTTTCTTTTATATATTATAAAAAGAAAGAAAATATCATTGATACTAATATATTATCAAGAAAAACATAGATAATTGTAAATATATATATATATAAAAAATATGCAAATCTCGCGTATATATGCATTCGTTGTTAGAAACTGCATAAACGTATGTTTATGCAGCAAAGGGGATAAAAAAAGGACGACGACTTTTGAAAAAAAAAGAGAAAAAGGAAAAAGATTTCTTAAGATTGTTATATCGTGAAGGGGGTGGGTATAAAGTAAAAAAAAATTAATCCTACGATTTTTCATATCTTAGAAACTTGTAATATTTCCGACTAAACTTATCCGTCAACGTCCTACGCGACGAATGACGTTCTTTTGTTGTTCAAATTCAAAAGAGGATGGATAAATTTGGAAGTACAGAATTTTTTTTAAATGATTCGTATATATATATGTGTGCGTGTTGATTAATATGCTTAACAAATCGTTTCAAAGATGTGTTGAATATATCACACACACATATATATATATATATATAAAAATATATATTTATATTTCATTTCCTTTTCTTTTCTTTTCTTTCTTTTCTTTTCTTTTCTTTTCTTTTCCTTTTTATTCTTCTTTTCAAAAGAAAAGATTTTTGACACAAGGATGGTCAAAATGGTTTGACATTATTGGGTTACGAGTTGTGAGGTTTAGAGTTAAAAAGAAAAATAAATAAATGCAATCAAGTAAATACTTTTAAGGATTAAATATAATACATTGTTAAAAAAAAAAAAATAAGAAAAAATTCACATAGACGATTTATATTATTATTAATATTATTGGTTTAAAATTATAACATTACGATTATTGTATTTTTTGAATTTTTATGAAATTGTATTAACGTTTCCCTATGCAGCGATGATTTCGAGGATCAAATTTTCCTGTAATATAAGTAAAGTGTATTAGTATATTAAAAAAATTGTTAATTAATCGATGCAAGTGTCTAATGTTGTCTGAAAGCTTAAAGAATATGATTAATGAACCGTCAATACAATTTCAATGTTTTTGTTGTAATATAGCGTTGTGATTTTATTCCAATTGAAAGATTATTATTATTATCATTTGTAGAATTTGTATAATACGCGTTTTCTAATATAATATTTAATGTTTAAAAAATACCATCGGAAATAATAAAGTTTATTTAAATTTAATATTATTTGTGATAAAATTTTAAACATTATTTTAATAATGTTCTACCATATTTGAAAATCCTGTCAGAGATAACGAATATTATATCAAAGGGTGATTTTTGGGAAGGAATAATAAATGGTATTTAAGATCAATGAGGCAAAGGTAAAGAGGTGTTTATAGTGATTTGCGTTTATGGTGTTTGGAATTCAGTAGCTTCGGGGTAGAGTTTTCGATAGTAGGGATCCCACGACCACCCGAACGAAGACCCGCATCTTGACATCCGCCGGTAGCTATTTAGCAATAATTTACTCCTGTCTATATACACTTACGTTACACGACTACACACACAAATATATATATATATATATACTAAGATATAGTATATACAAAAGAGTGAATGTAAGCCGATGAAATTCAACGTCAAAATGAAAGAACCATAGAGTCAGTGATATTTAAACGTGGAATCTTTCTCAATCCCACGGGTATATTGTTATTTAATGATAATATTCACACACACACACACATATATATATATATACGCGCGCGCACGAGTAAGTTAGGGTGGTAAGAAAAGGAAAAAAAAAAAAAAAAGAAAGAAATCGCGGAGAAAATTCCCTCAGTTGACGTAAATATACCCGTATGTTTCACCATGGGAATTATTCATTATTCGAAAAGAGTGGGGATAATACTACCACGAGTACTATACCTCTCATTCGTTTCCCCTTTCCACCACCTTATCTTTTTTCGAATGATTATCATTTGCTTTTTATTTTTCTTCAACATAGGAATATTGAATTAAATTTTTCACTACGTTGAATTGCTAATAGAAATGTTTCTATAAAAATTAATATGTTTAATTTAACACGATGTAAAAAATAATTGTATTTATTTATAAATCATTATTTTATATTGCATCACACACATAAATAATAATAATAATAATAAGAAAATTATTTGAAAGAGAAGAGGAAATAAAATCAAATGAAATATATTCTACACATTCTTAGGAATGAATTCGTAAGAGTTTATGAAGATTATATTATATATGAGAGATCATGGAAGCCAAACGCGATTATGATCGACAATACGATACAAAGACTGGTGTTATAGGGTTCATGTAAACGTATTGAATCAGGCACGTGTCCTGTCGTTCGTTCGATAACTGATATAGTTGTATCATTGCACGCCACGTGACGTTGCACGTTAACAAACTCGTATTATATATCTTCCCTTCCCTTCCCTGCCCTTCCATTCCCTTCTTCTCTTTCAAGACCCAAAGCCAACTATTTTCATTGATATCTATTTATCTATCTATACTAACTGATGAAGATAGTTTCAAATATATTTAATTCTAATCTCTTGAAGAATTTCATCTCAATATTATTTAGAAATATTTTCTCTTTACTATATTAACAAACAAGTTTATCATTATTTTATAATTTTATCATTCATTTCATTGATATTGAGAAAATATTGCAAATGATTGGATATGTGAATGGTTGTATCCGATTGTTAGATATATTTATTATTTGATAATTGGATCAAGTTAGAAATTGAACAAAAAGAAAAGAAAAGAAAATGTTGATACCATTTAAAGATAGTCTTCTGATGGTGATGGTTCAAGATTGTCCACCAATCGAATATTCCATTAGAAGTTGTCAAAGTTGATCAATGTTGGACAAGTTTCTTCTATACGTTTTCTCGCGAATAAATCCCTTGGGAATATATTTCACGTAGTATACTTTTTCAACATTTCCAGTTTCAACGTTACCGAGAAAACGTTCACAAAGAAAAGATAGGATAAAAATAAAGAAGAAAAAACAAAAGGTAGAAAATAAGAAACAGAAACAGAAGTAGAAATAGGAGTAGAAGTAGTAGAAGAAAAATAAGGAAATAATAAAAACGGGTAGAGAAAAAACTATAAAATAAAAAATAATAAAATAAAAAGAAATACACATAGAGATATATAGAAACTGGTCATCCGAGATCTACAACGAAG